GGAGATCAGTTTCGGAAGATGCTAATAAAACAAGGTCGTCTGCAAACAGCAACCTTCTCGACTTAATATCACTTATACCGATACCCTCGTCGCCTTGGCAGCTCCTGACTATTCTATCCATGTACAACACAAACAGGATAGGGGGCAGGACGCAGCCTTAGCGGAGACCAGTTCGAACGTTGAATGGTTTCGACTTAACGCCATTTACTCTGACACAGCACCTGCTATCAGATTACATTGATGGGATGGCCCTTAAAACTTGCCATCAATCCCGTATGCCCGAAGGCATGTCTACAGACTGTTGCGTGGGATCCAGTCATACGCTTTATCTAGGTCCACAAAACACATGTACACCGGCTGGGCGTACTCCCACGATTTCTCACAATCTGACGCAGGGCAAATATATGATCAGAGGTGCTTCGATCTGGCCGGAAGCCACACTGTTTTTCTTGAATCTCGAGGTCAACTATTTCGCGGAACCTTCATTCTTGCAGCTTTGCGTAGACTACATGGGAGGCTCAATAACGTAATGCCCCCATAATTGCAGCACTCCGTGTGATCGCGGTCGTCCTTATTGAATAAGAATACAATGACTCCCGTTCTCCAGGTCCGCTGGTGTCTTCCCATAGTCATTGCAGTTTGACAGACACGTGTTAACCAGCACATGGCTTGCGTGCAAACAATAAATTCGAATTTATCCAATGACGTACTTGCTTAAAATTACTAGATACCAGATATGGCCAGACGCCCGCTTACCACATGTCAATTCGACGTTGTTGTGCTGTCATGCACCGACGTAATTATGGTCAGTAGGATGCGGTGTTAATGTGAAAATGCCGGGGCACGCGAGAACGACACCTAGGAGGATGTTTCTCATTGTCCGAGCTGACCATCTAGAGAGGTTGCCTCAAAGCAGTGCTATTTGGTGACAAGACTTGCTGAGAGTCACATTTAGAATTTTCTCCTGGAATTTGTTCATGTAGCTGTGACTTTTATCACTATTGGGGAGAGAAAATTACAGGCAACGGCAGGTCTGGAATATACAACTGCGTTATTACATATGACTGAGGTAAATGACATCAACTGCAACAAGATAGCATCGTTTTATCCAATTCTTGCTGATCTTCTTTTCTGTTGCCAGCCTCTGAAGAACAGCTTTTAGCATACCCGAAGCCTTACCAGGAGGTTTTGCATTTTTTCTTTGGTATGCTCCTATCTGTCGGCTTACCGTCAACGGCTGGGCCACTGACGCAAGTGGACCTTCGCCCATTTTTTCTGTGTTGTAGCCCTTGCTTCCACCGTTGAGCAATGAGGTTTTTCGCCCCAGCATGTTGGTGAACATCTGTTGTTGTGGGGATCTAGTTTGTTACTCGGGCCTTCCACCTCTTATCCTCAGATGAGTCACACTAGCAGCCACTTGAGTACATCCAAAAATTGTCCAACGCTGGAGCATCACACCTAGAGTATGGTCTCGAAGCGAATCTTTGCATATTCTTGAACTGATCGCCGTTTGCTTTACTTCTACTTTTTCCTCAGTCTTGGTGGTAGACTACCTCTCTGCGACATAGATCATGGCGACTAGGACGTGATTCTTAGTGAACATTGTCAGTTCATTATGCAGAAGGGATATTTTAATAGGATTGAAACCTGCCATTGTCGCTCTCCTTCTATCGTTGATGATTTTATTGGAGTCTTAGGTGGCTGAGGCATAGAGGCTGTTTTCACTTCTTCGCCGTCAATGAACAGGGTACCTTCACGGCAGTGTTCGTTGCGCATCCATTTTGTTTTCCATCTCCAGACCGTTGGCCGTGACTCCTTCTGCAACTGCACAATCCGCCGAATTTCCGATAAAGAAAAGGACGTCGTTTGCAAAGAGTAGATAGGGAAGCCGTTCTCCGTTGATGTCGATACTGTGCCCCAGCTGAGACTGTTGAAGAGGAATTGCAGCGCCCTCGCAAAAGGATTAAGGGAGATGGTATCTCTTTGGTGTACTCCACTTCTGATGGCGAATCGACACAGTTCTTCAAATATTTTGAAACAGACTGCGATGTCAAAATTTTTCCTTAGTATAAATAATCAAAAACATGATACTGTACATTTTTTGAATATGGCAGCCAACCGCGCACCTTTTCGAGCGAGTAAAAGAAACAATGCCTTTCCCTTACGTTAGTTGCGAGTGTCAGTAACGATTTACGAGGGAGAAGTGAAAATTTCTATTGGAGTTTCTTTTAACTTATAAAAATAGTTACAAATCTTTAACTTATAAATCTTCATTAGAAGTCTTCTGTCGCAGTACAACGAAATGAACGATTCAGTCCATGCAGTTTCTTGAGACTATTTCTGAGACTTTTTACATTTCCTGCCATATCTAAGTTTGTGGTTGCTGACTTGCATTGGTAGCGATTTTGTACACACGTCACGCAAAGACTGCATGTGACTGACCTCTTGTAGAAAATATGACATTGCCGTTTCAGAGGTGCTTTAAATTCGAGCTTAGTTGCTCGTGTGTACTACTTTTGGTAGTATTGATAGGACATTTCGCAGATCATTCGACTTCTTAATTCAGACGGTTTGTTGGACTTGCTTATAGAGAACGGTATCAGACGCCTTTGCTTTTCCTTTAAATTGTCCCCAAACTTTGGTTGTTAAAAATATTACTTTAAGAATTGTGAGAGCGTTGTTTTGTGATTTGCTGAATTCCAGGAATGCTTCACAAAATGATGATGAAGAAGAGTTTAAGCAGCGTCATCGAGTTTTTGCAGTGCCTCCGTAATGTTACAATGGGCGTTTACTATCATCTTCATACTGTTAACAATGTTCCCAAAATGATGGTACTGACAGGTGACTTTTAATAATGACATTTGTTTGAATGCTGCTGCTTGCTATGAACCACGAAGACAAAACCGAAACGGTAAGGGATACATCCACATCAACACAAAATTCCAGCTTAAGTGATTTTCGTTAGTGAATCGAGTTCGATTACACCCTGAAGACGTACCCATGAAATATAGAGAGCGAAATATGGTCACTAACTAATTAAAATTGACTTCATAAAAGTATTGGAAATATACAATTTCTGTCAACCGTAAACTAGCAAACTGAACTGTACAACAATCAATGGAAAAAGACTGAGTTAAGTTTAAACCAATTTTGATGCTAGATTTTTCAAGTTGAAGGCACTGAATGACTAGTGTAGCTGAAGAACTGATGCTAATTAATTGTGGTTTGATTTTAAGGTTTCGCATTTTAGGAATTCGCAACAAACGCTGCGGTTTTTCTAGCCTCCATTGTAAGCATAGTCCAAGCTGTTTCCATCGTGATGTACTGTAATCATAGAAAAAAGGAAGTTGCGAATTTTCATGAACTGGCGAAGCTGAATTCCCGTAGCAATACAATGGTAACAATTGCGGTAAGAAAATAATTTTTCTCGTTTTACATAGAGGAACAAGCAGCATTATAATTTCTATATTTATTACGCAGTGCGATCCAAACACAACTATGAATCAATCCCTCAATCATTTAAACAGAAATGTCATAGCTTATTAACGTACTGATTAGTAGTAACTTTCGGTTATCCTAAACGTGCATGTCATATGAATAGCATTAGCATGGAGTTCAGTGACCAAACTTTGTATCCTTTTCCATTCGCAGTGAGGACAGCATAAAGAAACAAGTTCAGACTCGTTTGCTTTGTTTCTTTGCTTCGACCAGAGTTTTTTTTCAAGGAAGCTGCGATTAATACTGCATTATAACATCTACAGTGCATACATGCAAGGCTGAAGGGAATGAAGGAGAGAAAGATTGAGTGAAAGAATGAGCCGTGTAAATTTTAATTTTTGATTAACTACACTTCTGATTCTCCTCTACTTGGATACACCTAGGCCGAGTGCGACAAATCAAGAGGAGTTCATAGAGTTTATTGAGAACAACGAATCTCAACTATGAGCTAAAACATATCACGTGATATCGATAGAATGTGTCATTCTAAATGGTGGAGCAAACACATGTACCCATTCAGGCATGTAATATGGTGCCTGTGAATATGACAAATGTTGTAAATGCAAATGCGTGCTGATTCATTCGCTAGGAAGTTAAGGTGCCGAAGTAAGTTATGGAATCTCACAGCTGGCAGGGTCCTGCTCTAACGAAGCTGATCTTACTCAGATGCCAAAATGTACTGCTAAACGTTTAGGTGTTGGCTTTTGTGACCACTGTCGGCTGTGCAGTTGTGTTGTTCATGGTGCACAGAAGAATGACTCCCTGGAGTCCTGACTGGGAAACGGAGTTCAGTGGCGACCGTTCTGCAGATCTGGAGATGGGTGCGTCTTCTAGCGCAGCCAAACAGCCGGAGCGCGCTCCACCAGAATCAACGTCGATGACGTCTTCGAGCAGATTGAGCAAGTCGCGAGTTTCACAGACATCGGCGCTTTTCGACCGATCTGCTCAGAATACAGCTAAATCCTCTTCATCTGACCGAGGCCGCCGAGAAACAACAAAATCCTCTTTCACCGGTATCACCTCCCCAACGGTCAGCACCAGTTCCACTGATCGACCTAGGAAATACGCGACTACTAGATCGAAACCAGTCAGCGAATTACCTTCCACTTATACAGGCGATTCTTCACCTGAAACCAGTGAACGACTTCCTTCAGCTTTTCCAGAGGAGGTTGCAACGCCTCCAGCATCGGATGGCGCGCTTGCAGACTCTGGAGTACCAGCACATAAAGATGAGTCGGAGCGTTACAGGAGATCGGCAGAAAGGCGACCTCAAAAGAATCACAAAGATGCGAGACTGAGAGAACTGAAAAAAGCTGAAGCTGATAGAGGGAAGCGTAAGAAGGAAAATGAGCGTGAGACGAAAACAAAAGGGAAACTTCCGACAAAAGCGCAGGAGGAGAAGAAAGCGCGGGAAAAACAAGGGAAAGTGATGAAAAAAGATCGTGAGAGAAAAAGAAAAGTAGAACTTCAGCTGAAAAAAGAAGATATGAAGGCACGTGAGAAAAACGTGAAAACAATGGAAAGAAAATACGAGAAAAAATCAAAAGAACTTCATCCAAAAGTGCAGGAGAGGAAGAAGGCTGCACGAGAGGAACACGTCAAGCATGAGAAAGCAAAACCGTTGAAAGGCAAGGAGAGACCGACGATGCCAAAGCAGGTGCTTAAAAAAGCGCGTCAGAAAGGTAATAGCAATGATTTCTGCAATATAAACCTATATAAATATCAAATACGTTTCCAGAGAAGAAGAAACCCTTGAAGCAAACGAAGCCGTCAGGGCCAACGGCACAGGCAAAAGCCGTTAAGGTTCAGAAGAAGCCTAGCCACCTTGGCTTCAAGGCTACGAAGCCTGCAGCTAGGAAATTTAAATTCCCAGCAATGAACAAGTTTAAGCAAAAGGTCTTAAAAAGTCCATTTCCCAAGAAAGGTTTGGGAAAACTTTCTCTTGGTGGACACTTACCCAAGGCTGTGAAGGCAGCAGGAATGCCAATTCGTCGTAAGGGGGCGCTTCCGCTGACAAAGAGGTTAAAACCGGCTGGTCGCCGTGGCGCGGCTCGAATTGGGAAACTAGGAAGAAGAGGATTTGGAAAAATTCGCCGGCGTTGAACGATCCATGAGGATCAGGTGAATCTTTTGCCATTGTAAAATAGGTTACACCTCAAACAAAGGATATAGCTGTCAAAGCGTTGCTTGGGCATTATCGAAAGCTTCTAAGAAAAAAGTAGTACACTCCCGGTGGTAATTTTATTATTCTGACAGACCTAAAAAATACACAAATAAATGTGCGAATTTCCGTTCATGCAGAAACATCTCGATTCAACATTAGAAATAACGATGAGGTTTGCAACCTTGACAACGCAACGAAGTTGCCTTATTCAAACAACGGTTTAAAATGCGGTCGCTCTACGATTTGGATTGGTAACACCTTATAAGAAACAGCAACATGTTGGCGGCGAAAGACAGGAACTTCATCCAAACTTTGCCTAAGCGATTTACACATAGGGCCAATGCTACTTTAATAGAAAAAAAAACATTTCCAGATCCAAATTTTTAAACTGAATCTTTTGTTGAACATAGCTCACTAGAGACAAAAAAATCAACAGTTCAATATCATCATCATCTTCCATCGCCGCTTCTCCTTTCGGGTCGCGGAGGCAGACACGTCAGAGAGAGCTTCCAACGTTCACGGTCCTTCTAGCCGCTTAGAATCAAAAAGGCGATGCAATAACGCTGCTAGCGTAAAGCATGAAATGGATTTTTCTTTTTTTCACATTGTGCACTTTCACCGTTTCAATGCGGTACCTTCATCTTCATCTTCTTCATCTTCCATCGCCGCTTCTCCTTTCGGGTCGCGGAGGCAGACACGTCAAAGAGAGCTTCCAACGTTCCCGATCCTGTGCCAGAGTCTGAGCTTCGGCAAAAGACAAATGCAGTC